GTGTATGGTACTGCATGATGTAAATTTAGCATTTTCTTAAAGTACTAACCCCCTTCAGGACGTTGAATTTAGGCGAAGCACGTTCCGTGAGGCAACCGTAGTAGTTAGAAAATCGCGATTATTCTTTCGGAATTTCCCTTCGCAAGCAGAAGACCCTTGATTCTTTTCAATCATATGTATGCTTTATCAGTCGGATTGCCCGACGAAACCGGGCGATCTTCCTTTTTCGGTGCAGTGGGTCTTCCTTCTGACATTTTCAGGAGAGAGCCAGTCCGATCGCCCGACAAGACCTTGCGTTCTTCCTTCATCGTGTGCAGTAAGTCCTCCCCCTGACAATTTCAAGAGAGCCAGTCGAAACGCCCGACGGAGCCCGGCGGTCCTCCTTGTTTCGTGTGCAGCAGGTAATTCCCATTTTCAAGAAGGCTGGTTTGATCAACCGGCGACTCGGAACGATTCTCCCCTTTCGTGTGCAGTGATTTATGACCACTGATTAATTAATTATCAATCAAAAGATTCCATTACAAGAATAGTAACAAAAAAGAGTTAGCAGTCCGACGCATAAAGGAAGGCAGTTTGGGGGACAGTATTGAAGTGTGAAGCAGGTCTCACCCGGACATTTTCATGAGGGCTGGTCGAATTGACTTGCGAATCAGGGCGATTTCCCTATTTCTGTGCAATGGGTCTTCTTCCTGGCATTTTCAAGAGAGGGGCGGTCGGATTACCCGACAAAGCCGGGTGATCCTCCTTTTTTCATGTGCAGCGGGTATTTTTTTTACTCCCTCCCGTACTGTTGAGCACATCGGGCTTCGAACGTTCGCCTTCACTTGTCTGAGACTGCCTTGTGCTTGGCTCCTGAGGAATCCAGAACACGGCCACTGGTGGAATGTGATTTTGTGGCAGGCGTAAAATGTGGCCAGCCTCGGAGTCTGTCTTGTCCCTGAAATTCTCAACAGAAAGGCTGACGGACCCCCCACAAAGGGGTGATCGCTTTTCTTAAGTGTCGCGAGTCTCCCTCCTGACATTTCAAAAGAGAGGCAGTCGATCACATGGCGAAGACCAGCGATCATTTTACAAGTACACTGCATCTTCTGTTACATCTTTCTAAGAGAGCTACTCGCATCCCGACAAGACTGCCTGATCTCCCTTTCTCATTTGCAATGGCTCTTCGCTCCTAGAGGCCAGTCGGATCGCCCGCAAAGCAAGGCTATCTTCTTTTTTCGTGTGCATTGATCCTGTGATTCGATTGTGATTGGGATTCGTGAGCAGATTCTCTCAACATTTTCAAGAGAGAGCCAGTTGGATGACCTGGCCTTTGCCGGGCGTCTTGATAAAATGCTTTCGGAAAATACCCCTTTTAAGGAAGTCCGGTTTTTGGATAAACCACCTTCAGGACTGCTGAAAATATTTTGTTGTGCTGAAAGCTGTAGATTTGCCTTCACTTTTGTTTGGTTTTATTGCCGAATTATGGATTTTTGCAGCAAGTACTACCAATTTTTTGCTTGCTCGCCCATCGCATGTGTCACTCTTCATTTCATCTACTGACAGGTCATTGACCATCACTTATTTTTCTTGTTTCCTGGACTGCTCTGCTGTTGCTCTGGAAGCGTTTATAAGGATTTCTGCCCTTCATGCCAGTGCACGCCCCGCCCGTTAAGGGCAAAGTTTAACTTCGTCACATGTGCTTCGCACATTTTGATCTATGC